GTTGAATTTTTCCTTCATCTGCTTTTTCCTTGACATCCCTAGAAGCTTCTTCCTGTTGGAGGAGTTGAGGTTTCCCTTCATCTGCTTTTGACGAAATCGGGTTTTCTGTGTGGTTATAGAAAAACAAAAGCGTGGAATGTAAGAAATTAGTGTTGAAAACATAGCCTGTACAACGCCCACAGATTATCCACCTTCAGGGCTTGAAAGATCGGAAGTCAGAGAGACAGATTTCCTCTGATGGAGTATCAGTCTACTACCTTGTTCTCTTTATACGTTCTGTCTATTTTTTAGTACCCCGTTGCGGGACTAGATGATACCTTATAAAAAAAACACATCAACTTAAAAGTCCATCCGTGTTTAATTAGCCTGTGCCTGGGGAGAGCAAGGGGAAGGGTTAATGCCACCAACCCAAAGGTTGTTCAGTTTTGATTATTCAGAACCATTTAATTGCTAGAAACTTTTTCCCTTCCGCAACTTTTTATACATTCCTTAGAAAATTGTATATAGCGGCAGGCGCGGATCCACACCGGTTTCCACCGGTTTACGAAAGTAGGTCAGATGTTTCATAATAAACATATTGTTAATAATAATAACAATAAGAATAATAAGAATAAGAATAAGAATTAGAATTACAATAAGCTTAAGAAGAAGAAGAAGAAGAAGAAGAAGAAGAAGAAGAAGAAGAGGGGGAAATAATAATAATAATAATAATAATAATAATAATTAAGCAATAGAAAACGTTTTCCGTGTTTGCATAGCCTGATATAAACACGAGAGGGGTTGGGAGAATTCGAGACAGTTATGCAAACAACTTTCCTGAGAAAAAACGCAAACCTCTCTGTTATGGCCCTTTACCCGTCGCAAAGTCTTGTATACGAAGTCTTGCACGCGTAATCACTTCTTGTTTTGCAGAAAGATGCTTTCCAAAATACGGATTTTTCTCTCTTAAAACGTCAGGTTAAGCGAAAAAAAGTTGACACAGCTTATTTGTAAAGATTTTCCAAATTTCAGCCGACGAAGGAATGGGTAAATAAAAGTAAACTTGTCGAGTTTTGAGCACTAAAACTTTTTTCGAATTCGTGCTTGCGTGATTAGCGCACGAAAAGCAAAACATCTCACGTCACAACCATGTTTACATACTCTCATGCAAACACTCCTCTGAGCCAATCAGAGCGCGGGTACTTTCGTAGTTATTTTATAACAACAAAATCTTTCCAAGTTGACTGGCTGGAAAATGGTTTGGACAAATGTTTGTTTTTCTTTTTTTTTATTATTTCCGAGCATTAGATACCAGCAATGAATCACAAACCCACAAAAGAGGACTTGAGGGAGAACATCCAAAAATTGCCTTGGGGAGCATGTCCCCAGACCCCCTTTAAAAACTTGCGCCTTCCTCTCTCGCTTAGGAAATCGGTTAGTATTTATCCTAGATCCGTACCTGAGCGGCCATGTATTAAGCGGCCAGTTTTCTAAGTCCCGATTTTTCGCCCATACCAGCGCTGTATCTGTTTTGATGTTTTGCCCGCGATTGCCTTAATTTTGTGTCGTAGAAAAAGTGTGTTTTCTGGATATTTCTACCCCGTTTAAGCACATTGAAGACATGCTCTTTTCTTTAAAGAAAATTTAAATCTTTTTTGGAAACCAATGAACTGCTAAAAGAGCTTTCCGGGGCCGAACGCTGTCAGAACTTTTGAGAAAGAGCCTCTCGAGCTCAAGGATTCTTTTGAAATAATTATCCCTGAGAGGAAAAATAAATTAAAAGAAAATGTTTTGGACCCTTACTACCTTCTACAAAAAACTGATCTGTTTTGTTAGACGCTTCGGTTCTTGGTCCTCTCTTTGCTGGCTGCTCCGAATGTTTGCTTAATAAATCCTCAGCGGTCTTTGCAGCAACCTTATGATCAAATACTGTTGTGTGTTCAAGAAAAGATGGATTTCGCCACGCGCCTGTTCCAGCATTTTTGATAGCAGGGATCATTTGCACTCCCTTAGTACTGAGTTCGGCTTCATCAAACGGTTCACCTCTTAGAGCTTTGCCGAGGCTCGTTTTACCCACACGGTCTTGCCCTACGAGCAAAACCTTGACACGTTTATCATATGTGATACCACCAGACTCAATTGCCCTGTGAAAAGCAGCAAGTGCCTTTTCTCCTTTAGCTCGCACAAAGACTGGAATCAAATCTGAAAGTAACAAAAGAATCGGTTTATTGTTGCGCGTTTGGTACTTGTAAGCTATAAAGCTTTGTGCTTGGCCTTCGCAGGCCTGAAAAACGCGAAAAAATAACGCCTGTTATGCAGGCTAAAGGTAATCCTTTTGAGAAAATGGCAAATTTTTTTCGAGAACGTCTGTGTATCTTGTTTTAGTTAGCAATTCGTAGGAAGCTTGTTTAAGTCAGATATTGACTATAGACTTTCTGAAAAGTATGTTTTGGAATGTTATCGACTTGTGAACAATTTTTGTCTCGTCAAGTAACGGTCCTCTTCAGTCCTACGTTGTCTA